TGTGTGTGTGTGTGTGTGTGTGTGTGTGTGTGTGTGTTAGTGTGTTAGTTATGCCCCAGCAGTGTCTCTGCTCAATTCTGAGGACTGATTCTGTGAATCTGTTTTGGGCCAATGGCACCAAAACAATTTGAGCTTAATGACACAGTATAAATCATGCCGTCAGTGTCTCTGCCACTTAGGAGTTAAATCACTTGTTTCTGTTTATGGAGCCCTAGCCAGGCCTCTATGAAAAAATGGTTTAGTTTTTAACCAGATGTTAACTTGCTTTAGAAATTTAAACTAGGAGATGAGAAATTTTAAATTTACATAATGTGCAATAAAGAAATTTTAAACATTAGTTTTTTTGGTTGTTTATTGAAAACTGTGTAGAAAAATGTGACTAGGGCTCTATAAACAAAGTGATTTACCTACTAGATGGCAAATAATTGAGTAGTTAGGCTGCATGGGCATGATTAATACCCTAAAACCACTTCAGTAAGCAAGTTGTTTTGGTGCCATTAGTGTCCCTTTTATTTTTCCAGCCCATATAAATGTCAGAAGTAAGACTCTCTTTAGGAACCAATGACTGCAAGCTATACGGTTTCTATTATAGGTTACTGAATCATTTCTGTTTTTGATATGACTTAATGTATCCACCCAAATAAATTTCTATTTGATTTTTTTCGATTGCAGTTGAGGTGTAGATGTGTATAGCTGCTGGGTTATTCTGCCATTTTGGATAATTGATTAATTTACCCTGCTCTTTGCCAAGATAAATCCACATTGAAATACTCTGGGCTTTCAGAATCCCTACTAAATGAGCCAAAATTTTTTAGTTATGTTTGTTTGATTTAAAATGTTTATTTATCATACAATTTATATTTATTATTCAATAACTTAGTAGCATGTAATTGAAATGATGAGGGAGATGTTTTTGTTAGACTTGAACAATGTTAAATTTTTTTATACTGGATAGTTAAGCAGGAGAAATTACAGACGTTACTAATAATGCTTTCATAAAAATGAGAAAAGGGAACAAAAATATTCCAGTCACTTCTATTTGTCATGATTGAAATTCACTACTACTCTGTCTCTAGAGGGTATTTACACACAAACGTATACATAGATTCATGTGATTCACCAAAAAGAAGTAATCATGTAAATATGTTTAATCTAGCCTTATCCAGTTTGCTGGGAACATAAACCATTTTAGACATTTTTTCTAAATAGAAATACAAATTTATATAAATGCTATCTTTATCCAAAGCTTTAACAAATTCAATTAGAGGATTTTTCTTTTTAATGCTGCAACAGTCATTATGAATATCCATTAATATAATTTTTAATGTCCGATTTAACTCGGTGTGTTTTTGTTTTTAACACATTCCTAACTAAGAATATATTATGTTTACGTAGAGAAATCCATAGTTTTGTTATGAAAATGAGGAGCTTATGTTAACTTTCCATTTGTATAAGCATCTGAGAGCGCCAATCTGTTCTTATAACAATTTATTTCCACCTAGATCAGCCATCAGTGTAATAAACATCAGGCTCTTTGCTTTGTCAGGTGGCCACTTCTAAACCTGATTGATGACAGCCTACCGATAATCACTGTCAAGCAGCTGTACATAGTGGTTTATAGTCTAAAAAACAATTAAACATGCTGTATTAGGATTATTTATACATGCTTTAAGAACAACTGCTGTAAAGTTATGGTGCAGTAGTGTCCCTTTAATAATCCATTGTTTGCATTTTTCTTGTACATTTCGACCATATGGAACTTGTATGGACAAGAAGTGCTTCAGAATATATTCATCTTGAAAAGTTAGTATTAGCTGAGAAATGCTATCTCAGCTAATCTATCACTGGTTATTGGCTGGAACAATTTACTAGTGATATTTGTTTAGGGAAAAGAGTTCAGATTAACCATTTCAACCCATGTATAGCTTGAGGGAAAGATAAGACAGGTGGGATATGATCGAAAAACCTTTAAATACATAAAGGGAATCAACACAGTAAAGGAGGAGACTGTTTTTAAAAGAAGAAAAACTACCACAACAAGAGGACATAGTCTTAAATTGGAGTGGCAAAGGATTACAAATATCAGGAAGTATTACTTTACTGAGAGGTTAGTGGATGCATGGAATAGCCTTCCAGCTGAAGTGGTAGAGGTTAACAAAGTGAGGGAGTTTAGGCATGTATTGGATATCCATAAGGCTATCCTATCTATAAGATAAGGCCAGGGACTTATGAGAGTATTTAGAAAATTTGGCAGACTAGATGGGCCGAATGGTTCTTATCTGCCGTTACATGCCATCTATGTTTCAATTTGTCTTGGTGAAAAGTACAGAAGCTGGAGTAGATTGTGGGAGTATCTCGCATAAAAAGTAACCATCTAGTTGGAAAGGAAGTGAATGCAAACAGTAATGCAGATTGTGCTGTAGGATATTAAAATAAAAATAAAAATTGCATGCCGATGGCAGTCAGATATCCATACTTAAACAAGGATCTATATCCACACAATCACACTCCTTCTTCTTTTTTTTTTTTTGGAGCTTTTTGCTTCACCTCACCGTGCATTGCTGCTTTTTTTTATTGACATTTTTATCGCCTGCTGTGTCAAAAGCTTTTGACAATACAATTAAAAAAGGAAAGGGCACACGCGTCCCTCCCCCACCACTTGGTGTCAAGCCCATTATCCAGAGCCGTCTGAATGTCATCTATAACCTCAAGCCATGGGCTTGGGCCTGTCAAGGGAGAAGGTTACAAAGTGAGGGCAGGACACTGTGCTCAACACGATCATTATCATGTTCCGTCCAGCTCCACAAGGTACCCTCTATGCTTTCTGAATGTACATGTGTAAAACAAGCCCCTTAAGGATCACATAGTAACATTCTGTATATTTGTTGGTTTCAGAAACAGCCAGTATGATTTGAAGTTTAGAAGCATAATTTAATTTCATTAAAGTGAACTTATTTGTGCAAGTTATGGTGTCATTAAATGTATTTATTTAAGCGATGTGTGCCTTGTATTCTAATTTTAATCAAAAATGCAGGTGTGTGCATTTAACTCTTAAGTTTTCTAGTCACTTGCTGCACTGCTGGTTTGTATAGCATTGTATGGCTCAAAGGGTTTGTTGGTGATTCCCCATTACCATTTGGGCAAAAGACTAGATGAATCATAAGTACAGGGCTTGATTGTAGATGGCGGGGAGGGTAGGGCAACAGCTGGAACATAAACCTTGCCATGTAGCTTGAGCCTATCAAACCCTGCATAGCCCCCAGAACGATATTCCATGAATCTGGATGCCAGACTCTATAAAAGGACTGTGAAGCAAACAGTGTCACAAAGTGGACACATTTGCCTGGAATAGGGCACCCAAAATACTAGAATAACTACATTGGCTAATCTTTTCCATTTGAGATATAATGGCATAAGCTGTAAAATTCACTGGATCATTCCAAATAAATAGTGAGTCATAGTGAACAGCAACAATAGCTGAGCTTTCCAAATGTGAGTTTGTCCCCCCCCCCCCAGCCCATCACCCGCCCACCCTCCCCTCCCTCATACCATCCCACCTTCTAATCCCCCAACAGACGCCCCCACCCTCCTCCAAGCAGCGGACTTACTCCACGCAGATTAGAAACAGACGCCTGGCTGCGGCTCGAGAACTCCGAAATAGCCTAAGACACCACTTCCCAGGGACACTGGTGCCATAACGTCAGGCCCCACACCTCCAAGAGAGCCCACACACCACCACTGCTCCATGGCACAATATGAAAGCTCAAGACTCCAACAGAACCACATACGAGCCTTCTCATAATACACAACACACTTCCCAAGATCTCTACAACAGCAACTAACTAATACAACAGAAACTACCCGATACACTGCCAAGCTATCTGGTACACTCCACAATGATATCCAGAGCACGAAAAAGGGAATTCTATACAGTTCAACAAGAGTTTTTATCTGTTAGCCACAAAGGACAAATGTTTTTGTTTCCCACATTATCACTGTTTTGCATTTTATCCCCTGCGTGGGAATCATATTTGATGTTAAGACACTAATAAAAATGGATTTAACACAAATGTGAGTTTGAAAATCTTTCAAACTCAGTTTGTTGCCTAAATTTTAGAATTCTTTTTTCAGTTCACCATTTAGTGAATGTTGCATGTCTGCTTTTAGTAGAAATTAATGTTTTCTGTATGTGTATTTGATTTGTTTTCCATTTGATTTGTTTTCCATTTGATTTGTTTCCCCCCACCCATCGCATTTAATGGCTTTCAGAGTTAGAAGGGAAATTCATGTTCTCTGGTAAAAGAAGCTGCTGCTGGCTTTGATCTTGGCATTTTACAGCCGCATTCTCTCTGTACTGTGACAGAGAAAATCGATGTGTGTTTTAAATGTTGAGTAGTGTTGATTGCTCGTGTGCGCTTGGCAAACCATAATGTGTGTTATTTAGGTATGTTTAGTGTTAGTCATCTCAAAACACAGTGCTTTTGACCATAATGAAACATGGTCAAACTAGGTGGTTATTTTGGAAGCAGTTAAGTGATGCTTTTTGTTTAGATTTTCATGTTGCAGTTATCCCAGCGTTTTGTTTTAATAATGGGCAAATCTTAAACGCACCATCACCACTTCAATGACTTGACGTCTGTATGTTCAGCATTTCAGTATGAAACCTTGCACCAATCTAGTTTAATCCCTTGTATTAGGGCATCATTAGCCAGCCTGGAACAAGAGTTCCGAGCCGGCTAATGTCAATTCTGTGCGAATTGTTTTGTACACTGTGCCGTTCATCGGCTGAGAGCCTCTGAGCCCAGTGGGGATCCAGAAAAGAGGACAAACAGATTGCCCCATTGCCAAGCTACCTGTCTAGAGTACTCCTGGCATCATGGCTATAGGTTGTGTATCTTAAATTACTCAAACCATGGTCTGTGCATCTATGAGAGTGTATGCATTGTGAGATGCCATAAACGTGAAAGGGGACATTGGGATATTATTTTATTTTTTTTTAATCTGGAAGCTGAAATAAAAATGCATGCAATTCAAGTGTTTGCATGCAAAAACAGCCTTCCTATAGCAACATAATGGAGATCTCTGCCTAGCTCAGTGAAGAATAGACTGGGCTAGATCGTTCCTCTCCCTACATGCTTTTAAAGTATATAGATCCTGTATGTCTATGGATATGAGTCAAAAATATTTCTTATGTAATTATGGTTATCAGATATGCAATATTATAATTAAGGAGAACTGTCACTTTCCAGAGTTTCGAAAACAAACTATACTCTAGTATCCTTGGCATTAGTTTTTTCAGTGTTTTGTCATATGAGACAATGTGTCTGTCGGAAGGACGTTAACTACTGATCCACATTTAAGATATTGAGAATCTTCATCTGGTGCTACTTGACTGCCAACATTAAAGATAATCTCACATATATAGCGTGAAAGTTTCTATAGACTTTTAATCTTCTTTTTGTCCATTTCTAGATCACTGTGTCCACTACTATGACCTTCGAAACACTAAACAGCCCATTATGGTGTTTAAAGGGCATCGCAAAGCTGTGTCTTATGCCAAATTTGTGAACGGAGATGAAATAGTCTCTGCGTAAGTATAGGGACCATGAGCCTTTTTCTGTAAGGGTGAGGGGTGTTTTGATATATTTAATGTTTATAATTGAGGAGTTTATTTCTTAGCTTATGTGGTTTTAAAATCCCACAGCCCATGTCTTGTAAGGGGAAAATGGAAAGCAATGCATAATCCTTTACGAGGTCCGTGACATGCAAGTGATTTATCGTTTGGTCTTTACACAAGGTAATGACCACTTACATGAAGGTAATGATTAAAAGGTAGAAGGGTACAGTCACTGGTTGCTTTCATTCGAGTTCTTGTCTCCCAATAATTTTCCTTTAAGTGTGGAGGGAAACCCTAAATGCAGGTGACTAGTGCACATTTACCAACCTCCCACTGACTACCTGCAGTTTTTGCAGGAGGACATGAAGTAAGCTGGTTAACTGTGAAATATTAAAAGATAAGGGATGTAGCAACTATGAATTGTGTAGTTTAGAGAGAGATGTGTGTGTTGTAGAGATACCATAAAGAGAGTGTTTGAAGTATAGTGAAAAAGACCACCTTGTCAGAATCTGGAAGCTGAAATTCAGTCGCATTCAGTTCAAGTGACTGCATGCAGTAACAGCCTTCCTATAGCAATAAAATGGAGATCTCTGCCTAGCTCAGTGAAGTATAGACTGGGTTAGATCGTTCCTCTCCATACATGCTCTCCAAATATACAGACTCTACTTAAGCTTAAACATTATTTGTACATAAGACCATCAATGCTCAATGCACTAACCGAAGGAGAGAACGCTTAATTAGGTTTTGTTGTATTTAATGGTGGAATTGTTCATAGCTTTGTGATTGATTGTTACTCTCCCTTTACTTGCCCCGCTGCCCACCTCTAGCAGCGCTGGGTTGGTGAGAGGAGAGAGAGGGTGGCGCACAGCACTGTCCTTCCGCTTTTAGTATTCTCTGGCAGCAGAGGCAACTTTAGAGTTCCCTGTACATTTCCATTCAGCTTCCTGACTTGTGGAGAATATGATGCCCTACCACTTTTTCTGCTTGGAGTCGGAAAGGAATGGTCCTTTGCAGCCAACAAGGAACACAAGGGTAGTGGTGAAAAGGTCTACATTTAATCTTAAAATAAAAATACCTGTAAAAAAGCTTCTTGGATGTTTTTTCCGTATCTAAGATCATGGTCGGACACCCCTGAATATTGCAAGTTGACTGTATTACCTGCACACCAGGATACTCTTTGTTTGAACATTTGCAGCATTTCCATATTTCAGAGCTATCCAGCTTCCACTTTTAATATATCTTATAAACTATAATTATAACTTAATTAAAAATCCAGATGGATTACATAATCCTCCCTCAAATACCAGAGTGCAGTTCAGTTCCCGGCTTGTTTTCTGGTTTGTGTTTTTTTTCCCCACTTGAGTATTTAAACTAGTTATTCTTTGCTATCTTAAGTGGGGTCTGCAATTAATTGTATTGCCAGGCAATGCAGACATCCTGTCCATCTTCAACAATTAACATTTATAATGTGTGCGATGAGCATTCAGTTCAATATGTACATTTCCATGGATACTAGACTCTCTTTAATAGTTTGAACATAATGACTGAGACACAGTACTATAAAAAGCCAAAGACTGGTAAGTTCTTGTTGCAACTATTGCTACTTTTTACCTTTATGTGGGTGCAAATTCTAATTCCATAAAGAAGGGACTGTCTTCCTGGTTTTTCATGTTTTTCATGTTTGGTTTTATTTTGTGTGTGTGTAGGTCAACAGATAGTCAGCTGAAGCTTTGGAATGTGTCAAGGCCTCATTGCCTGCGTTCGTTTAAGGGTCACATTAATGAGAAAAATTTTGTTGGCCTGGCATCAAATGGAGATTATATTGCCTGTGGTCAGTATATTGCTTAATGATTTTCGTTGTTTTCTACATCTTTGAAAATTTGCCCCATATTACTAAAAGTGTGTGTTATATGCAAGAGATAAACCATGAGATGTATATGTATAGCTTTATATTACATTTGTATTTGCATTTATGTACAGAATCTATTTTACTGCATTAAATAAACAATGCAGACACCATGATTGAAGTGGTTTAGTAAAGATTCTCGGTGCTCTTTATCTGGAAGCCTAGCATCCGATGATATGGCGCCAAAGGCAGTGCTCCGTTATTGGCTGTGAATGTCAGCTGAGCGGCCTTGTCTCAGCCAGTTCCTGGTATGGTGCAAGAGCATAGTTGACTTTCAGGTTACCGGGGACCAAGAATCTCTACTGAATGGTAAATAACATGTTTATATTTTGACTGTTGCTAGGCTCCAGGTATTATCACCCCTACATGGCGATAATTGTGGCACATTTAATGTGGTTGATAATTATTAGCTAGTAAGATATGGACTTCTTTCATAATTGGCCACCTCAGTTTCATGTGCTTTCACATATTTTGTAGTTGTACAGAGAATTGATATTGCCTCCAAAGCCATATCGTGAAAGATAAAGTTAAGGTTTTTCCTATTTGCTTTTTGTGTGATATTATTTTTTTTGTTTGTTTTAAAATTATTTTTATTCCCTCACCCCAGGAAGTGAAAACAACTCCCTCTACCTTTATTATAAGGGCCTTTCTAAAACCTTGCTAACATTCAAGTTTGACACTGTTAAGAGTGTTCTGGACAAGGACCGGAAAGAAGATGATACCAATGAATTTGTGAGTGCCGTGTGTTGGAGAGCGCTCCCTGATGGGGTAAGATTACTTTTTATCTTATGGCAGGCTGAAGGGATAGCTAGGTTGTTTTTTTGTTTTGTTTTTTGCATTCTGCCTCATCACCACAGATTATATGGGTGCCCAAACACACAAGAAAGTGGCAGTTACATTTCAGCCATTGAAATATCAATGTGGCTGTTGGAAAGAATAGTGGAGGGCAGATAAAATTATTTATTTTTTTACATCAAGAGCAAAGAAAGATTCTAAAATCTAAACAGTATATGTATAATTTCCAAACCGTGCACAAAGATTCAGCTTTTTAGTGATTACAGGTTGTCGACTTTTTGGTCCACACGGACTTTAATCAAGAATATATAAATATGTATGAAGATGTGTATATATGTGTATGTCTTTATTTTTGTTTATTTTTATAGACTTTTAATTTGTATCATTACGTAATTGTTTTATGTATCTCTAAACGGCAGACGTTACACAATGACTGTTTTATCCTGCATTTGTGTACCACCTGACATCCCATATTACAAACATTACATTGCATATATATATATTTATATATATATATGTGTATATATATAATGTGTATGTGTATATATATATGTATATACATATATATGTATGTATATGTATTTGTTTTTGGCGCTAAAGGGTTTTAGGAATTATCATAAGATGTAAAATGATTTTTCTGCCTATATTCATGTAGAGAAATGTAATTGGCGTCACAGCAGATTTGATGCTAATTTGTTCCCTCTTTTTCTCATGACCGGTCTCGTAATTAAAAGTGTGCAATTTGCTGTACATTAGTATCTAGGTTTTCAGTGTGGGAATTTGCAGATGGCACACGTATTAGCAAGTCAGAATCATAGGAGCACTTTTGCCCTTAAAATGGCAACTCACTACCTCGTTCACAGGGCAGAAATATGTTTTACTTAGACTTGCTATTTCAGGGTAATGCACTTTACTCAAATCCGTAAGATCCTGTTCACTGTCTTGTACTATACACTGCGCCTCATCATCGTGCAATGTATTTTTGAGAAATGTTTGCTTTATAAACCTCTTACTAAACCAAATAACATTCTTTGTAGATTTTGCCATATAAGGCATGAGACTTCTGGGTGTTTTAGGTTTGTTGTTTTCTAGCAAATTGAACTTGAACAGAAAGGGTCAAAACATTTGCGTTAACACAAGTCACATTGGCTTTTAAAATTGGCAGTCTGCTATATTCTCAAATGTCTCTAAGTCTTTCAGTCTCTGGATATGTAGGCCCCCAGAATTTTTTTTTCCGTTTATGCAGGAGTTCTGGCCATGAGATAGCTGTTCTTGGAACAATACAAAAGGTGTTCATGCACGAAGAGGAATATGATTCTGCATATTAATTCATTTTCAGTCTATCATAATCGTTAGAAGGAAGCTGTGTAATTTGCTGGCTGTTTGTCTGAAAGAGTTTATTACTGCTGATAAGGCGATCGAGAAAACGGGGGGTGAGAGGGGGTTCGGGAGGGGGTTCAGAGACTGAGCAGGTACTAAAAGTGCCGCAGAAGTAATCACTGCTGTGATCAACTGGTAGATTCAGATAAACGCCAAGCATAAAATTAGCTTAGGTAAAGGTTAAAGTGACTAGAGACAGACACAGGAGGAGGATGGGGGGGGTGTTAATCACAAGCAGGCATTGTTATATAAATTGAGTCTTTGGATGCTCAATGCCTTAAGAGTGTGTTGAGAAAAGGGAAACATTCCAATTTTCATGTTTCTATAGCATCTGAATGTTTTGAGAACCATGGTCTCTGACTTAATTTGCTGCAATTACACATTCTGAATGAAAGTTACGGTATGTGTATGCATTGCTGATTTACACACCAGATAGG